AAAGCAGTATTTTACTTATAGCCCTTCAAGTTTAAGTTGCTTTTTCAACAACTTGATTTCTAACATGATTAATAAAACAGCTTTTACTTGAAATCTAATAATACTGTTCTTTCATCTGAGTTGTACACACAATAATAACTCCAAAAGATGACTTAATGAAAAAACTAAAATGCACGCTCCTTGCCTTTTTTTTAGGAAAAAGAGAACATAAGATCAATATTTGCTTTCCTCAGATCTCTTTATATCTCAAAAATGCATTAAAAAAAATAACTTACTATCTCTTTCAAATGACCATTACAATGTGCGATAAGTCCCACACTAACAAGTCCTACTTTCTACTAACTCATGTATATACATGCATTGTTTTCTAAACCAGAATACCACCAAAGGCTTCAGTCAATAGTAAACAAGCACTCACACACACCTATCAGGCACATTCGTATTCTTTACCTTGCTCAGTACTTCCCAAGCTTTTTCAGATTTTGAAGTCCCATTTTAAAATGCTTTGTTTAAAAAAAAAAAAAAAAAAAAAAAGTCTCATCCACTCTCAGCACTCTTTGAGTTGCAGCTTTCTCAAAAATCCCTTGGGCAGCTACCACACTCCTTTCTGGTACAGTATGATACAGAGTGAAGCATGCTAAGTATGTATTCTCATTCACCATCAGAATAGTCCTGCTGTTTGAGTTCCTCTCCCCACATACACAAATATATGAAAAAAACACTGTTTTATATTCACGCTCAAAAAAGGAAAAAAAACATCACTATGTCCTTCCCTTTCACTATGCTTTTCATCTTCAGGTAAAGTTTCACTTAATTATTACTGTTTAATTTATTACACAAACACTTCAGTACCTTTTCTTGTTTAAAAATAAGAAGTGGAAATATTTTGCACTTACCTAAATTGTCATCAGGGTAAATTAAGTGAAGAAAAGAACGATGATAACATCCAAAAATGAAATTAAAGTCTGCAAGCATGCATGTATCTCTTAACAGAGAGGTATTGAAAAATAAGCTGAAGAAAGCAGGAGACAACAGTACAGTGACAAACAGAAAATAAAACAAATGAACATGCAGAAAACATTGAACTTTAAAATATCTTAGAGCATACTTTCATGGGTCATAAATACTATATTGAAGTAGTGAGGTAGGAAAATATCGTTTACTGTCTCTTCTTTTACAATGCAAAGGTAAATGAGAAGTTTCCTTTGTATAACATGCTATGCATCAGAAAGCAAGTAACTATCATTTACCATTTTTATTAGAAAACATATAGTAGTCTGGTAAAGATTTTACCAGATTACTGGTAAAGTCTGGTAAAGATTTACCAGACTAGTATTATACTTTAATACAAAGAATGTAAACATTTCAAAATGTTTTACTGTATTTTCCTTTAGTTTTCTACTTAAAAACTTGTCACAAAGTAAAAATGAAGAGCATGGAAAATACAGTCGACCAGCCTAACTTGCAACTCTGATTTTATGAATATTCATTCACTTATCTGCTGATTAAATTAATATATTTTATCAGCTCTGTTCTCTTAAGTATGAGTTATTAATACTACTACAGGCACACAAAAATTATTTCAAGGAATAATTCTGTATTCAAACCTATGAGTCTCTCAGAGGAACTGTTCAGTACCCTTTTTGTCCTTTCTTTTTTCATTAGTTAAAACTCCTGCAGTAGCAGGGCAGGAATTACACTTCAAAGGAAAATCAAAATTTATAATATGTTTCAAAGAACACATTAAATAATCTAACATTACCTGTTTTTCTGTAAGGCAATAGAATAAAAAGGATCAAACTCACCGTTTATTTCCAACATGGTCATATAAACACATCACAAAAGAAAAATAACCACTGTTCATTGTGTGCAGTGACTCATATTTGTATTGATTACATAGTATTAAACAAAGACATTTATAAGCTGGGTTAGGGGCCATTATTTTATGCAACTCGGTATATAGTTTATTGAAATGACACCATAATAAATCTAATCCAGTTTTTAAAAAGTCATAAAAACATATTAAATGATAAAAATTAATGCATGATATAAAAACCAGTCAAGTAAAATGGATCCATTTCGTGGAGTTCTGTTGGTTTTTTTTTGTTTGTTTTGTTTTGCTTTTTTTGTTTTTGACACTCAGGAAACCTTAGGAATTAATTTTTTGAAGATTTTTGTGTCATCTCAGTGTTGCATGTCCTTCCTATCATGCATTCTCACATTCTCCTGTCTGAAAAAGAACAATGTGAGGGGTACCATATTCAAAAGTCATAGCTGTCATGTGAAGTTCGCACCGACCAGAAAAAGGAAAACACCACTTCCATTTTTATGAAACATGGACAGAAAAGTCCAGAAAACTTCAGGTCAGTAGCCTCACCTCTGTTCATGGGAATATCGTGAAACAGATCCTCCTGGAAGCTATGTTAGGGCACTTGCAAGAAGAGGACATGATATATGACAGCCAACATAGCATCATCGAGGTCAGACTGTGCCTCATCAATCTGGTGGCCTTCTACAATAGAGTGACGGCATAAGTAGATTGTGTCATCTACATGGAATTCTGCAAGGTCTTTGGTATGGTCCCACACCACATTCTTAGCTCTAAATTGAAACAATACAGATTGAAAGGGTATCCACTATTTGGTGGATAAGGAATTGCTTTTATGGTCATAGTTGGAGGGTTGTGGTCAACAGCTCTATGTCCAGATGGAGGCTGGTGACAAATGGTCCATCCTTGAAGCAAGTGCTCTTCAATAACTTTATCAATAATGCAGATAGTGGGATTGAGTATAACCTCAGCAAGTTTGCTGTTGACACCAAGCTAAGTGGTACAGTCAGTAAGATAGAAGGACGGGATGCCATCTAAAGGGATCTAGACTAGCTTGAAAAGCAGGCTCATGAGAACTTAATGAGGTCCAACAAGACCAAGTGCAAGTTGTTGCACCTAGTTTGTGGTAATCCCAGATATGTCTACAGACTGAGAGAACTCATAGAAAGTAGCTCTGCAGAGAAGGACTTGGAAGTTTTGGTGTATGAAAAGCTTGATGCAAGTTAACCATGTATACTTGCAGCCAAGAAGGCCAACTGTATCCTAGGCTGCACAAAGGAACAAGGTCAGCAGGGTGAGAGCAGTGATTGTCCCCCTCTACTCTGTTCTCATGAGGCCTCATCTGGAATCCTGCATTCAGGTCTGAGCTCCCAACAAACACGAGACAGGGCTGTTGGATCAGATCCAGAGGAGGCCACAAAGATGATCAAAGGGCTGGAGCACACCTCCTGCGAAGAAAAGTTGAGGCAGCTGGGCTTATTCAGCTTGGAGGAGAGGTTCTCGGAAGACCTCAGTGTGGCATGCCAGTACTTAAAGAGACTTTATAAACAGGAGAAAGGTTTACTTTTTATGTAGACTAATAGTGATAGGATAAGGGGGGATGGTTTTAAACTAAAAGAAAGGAGATTTAGTTAAGATGTAAAGAGGAAATCTTTTACTCAAAGGTTGGCAAGGCACTGGAACAGGTTGCCCAGAGATGTTGTGGCTATCTCATCTCTGAATGCATTCAAGACCAGCTAGGATGGGGTCCCATGCAGTCTGATCTACTCTTCCCAAGGCAGAGGGACTGGATGATCATTAAGGTTCCTTCCAATGCAAACCATTCTATGATAACAGAGGTTGCAGAGACTATATTTATACGCAGATTCAAAAGCAGACTCACTTAAAAGTCCCCTGAAAGTTAGGAACACAAAGTGTACATGTTTCAAAGAGTACTCAGTGGAGTACTCACCATATGCTTACTTCATCCTCTGAACTTTTGGACATTGTCACACTAGGCTAGATAAACTTTCAGGCCAATCTAGTCTTCTATGTTATTACCTTCATACAGGAAAGATTCATGAGAGACTGTGAAATACCTTATTTTTGTCTTTTGCTAGGTTCATTTAAAAAAAAAAAAAAAAAAGTACTGGTTAAAAAAACAAATCTTCCATGAAACAAACAAATGAACAGGACTTGTAACAGCTATTAGTTCCCTTTCCCTTCAAATTGAAGATGTAACTTTCAAAAAGTGTGTCTAACCACTTTGGTAGATGACTTAAGTTCTTTAAATACTAGATTCAAATTCCAAATGTCATGTTACTTCTAAGTGAAGGGTATTAAGGTGATGCTTCCCTACGAAAGGCTACTAAAAGGCAATGCTTTATAATATTCCCTCTACTATTAATTGACACCAACTTTCAAGATTAGAAAGGTTAACCAGCAAGGCTTTTGAAAGAACCTCGAACAAATATAATTGTTCTAGCAGCATCCTGGTTCATCCACCACAAATTCATTACCTTTTATTTTCTTGTATAAGTAGAGTGTCTAGACTGATAGTACATTTGTTTACTGTATTGAATTCCTGATCAACACCCAGTTGGACTGATTGCAATCATTCAGGACCAAACTTGTTAATTCCACAGCACATCATGTATCTAAGAGTTGCAAAGTTCGATGAGAATTAATGATTATCAGAAACTCAGAAGTAAATGAAAAAAGTCAGTTGTTGCTGTCTACCAGCCAGTGAAGAAGTTTAGATTGGGAATCTGGAAGTGATAGAAACACAGGATTGTGTTTTTGTCTGGGGAAAGTTAACAGATGGTCTGAAAAGGAGCAATTTTAAATAAGCCCAGCAGCCAAGAAGAATGTGGAGACAGAAATACGATAATTTTTTTTTTATCTACTCAATGCCACTGTTTTATATAACTTTGTGAAATAAAATATTTCCTTGAAGTACGACAATACAGCTTTAACATTTTCATCGTTTTGGGACAGGATTATTGCGTTGCAAATAAAAGTATTTGAAGCACATATTTACAAGATAGACTTTTTCTAAGTCTCAGAAGCATTGCTGAAAACACCACTTCAACTCTATTATCTTGTTATTGCCAAATTTGATCCAATATTATAAGTAAAATACCAAGTACTTAGCTGTGAATTAACAAAAAAAGAAACTTCCAGAACTACTTACCTGATTTTCTTCATGGGAAACTCTCATTTGTTCTTTAAGAACTGACATTCTGGCTGCTTCTTCCTTCCTCAATACTCTTTCTTTCTTTAATTCAGGACTCCAGAAAGTTTTGATGCTATTCATGGAGGATCCCAGCTTGCTGTCTTTAATGTCTAGTTCTTTTCTGAGAAGATCGTTCTCCCTCTGTAGTTCCTTAAGCTGAGCCTGCAGGTCTAACATAGTACTATCTCTAACCTGTCTCAGCATAGAAGGAACCTGGTGGTGATGATGGTGTGAAGATGTGGTCAGACCTCCGTGTTGATCAGTGTAAGAAAGGACATCTGTGTGGGACAGTCCAGCTGAAGCAATATTAGGACTGCTTCCCATGGCTGTGACTCGACCACCATACACAGCTCGATTTGTAGCCCTTCCAAGAGTCATTGTGCCCTTTGGGAAAGTAGTAGAAGCTACACCTTCATGGTCACTCAGATACATTGGTCCAGATGTTGCATAGGCTGCATTAAGGGACTGGATGTTCTCCATTGATAACGTCTTACCTGTTCCTCCTCCTCCTCCGCTACTTGTTCGCCTATGGCCCAGGCGAGGAGATCTTGGCAAACGAGGAGACCTGGAGGGACTTCCTTCTAAGTTGCTGATTGTTCTCGCACTTCCGTACATCTTTCTTCTACTTTGAGGTACTGTTTAGTAAGAAACTAGTAAGACTAAAGTTGAATATTAAATTTATAATTCCAGCTAGAAATATTGGCAGTTTCACTGTATTCTTCCAGTAGGCAAAAAACCTTTCAATTCAGGTACCTAAAAAGGACAAAAAGATATTACAAAATAAGATTTCCCCCTTGTCTTAGAAAATATTTTTACAATTAGAAAGTAAAACGCATAAGTCTTAACTACTTAAGTAACTACTTTGAACATAAAACTTATAATACATTCTATATTTAGGCTGTCAGCATTTTAAAACCAGAGAAAAAAATGCTCATTTCTTCCTTATTAAAAATATCTTCACATTTTGACTTATCTTAACAAGCTTTCTGTTGCACTACGAACCCAAAAAAAAAGCATTTTAGCAGGTAAGTGGAATGATATTAGACTTAAGTGACTGATCATGTGAAATTACATACAGGAGAATACAATAGCTGCTGTTGGCATTAAAGACTACCAAACACAAGTATTCCATTTTCAAAAGGCTGTTTAAAACAAGGAAGTTCTTTTACATAGATATAGATATGGATATATACATAGAGGTTTTTAGAAGAAAGCAATGTTCTAACAGCTCAGCTTCAACCAGTAAAAATATTTTAGGAAGAAAAATTAATAAAACCAAGCTAATTTGAATATATTCTCCTAAACTGTCACAATGCAGTATTACAACACTTTCCTTATTGAATGAAGTAATGGCTTGCTAGTGTTTGTTGTTAATCAGCTTCTCAAGAAGAGGTTACATGGCTGTCATCTAGGCTTTCCTTTAGAAAAGGACTGCCTGACAGATACAGTTTTCTTTGTTTCTTTTCCCTTATGCATATTACTTTTGACAGAACTATCTTCACAACTTACTTAAACAGATAGGTACGGATCAAATATTCTTACTATTTTTAAATACTATACTATTACTATACATGAAATGGGTTCTATTAATTTAATTGGTGCTCATTAACCAGCTCCAGTATCATTTATTTTACAGGTAATTGGAGGAAGAGCAAAGGTTGGATCCATTTAAATCCAGTAATATTTAACTGCTCCCTCACAGCATTCTCTTTACATATAGATACATTATTTTTTAAATATCTGATACAAAATATCCGTCCTGCAAGTGAACAACTCTGGCATGAAAAACTACTGCAGATACTGTTGCCAGCAAACAAGAGGCATGCCCAGCTCTCACCTGACCCCCTGGTTATCCCACACAAACATACAGCGCATGGTTTATATTAACTCTAAGAATTGTTCTGTAGTTACCACACTTTCATCACATTTAATACTCAGCAGAGTCTAAAGCATTTTTGTTTCATTTTAATTATCATTATGCAGTTAAACTAACTGAAATGTTTTCTTATTTTGATTCAATTACTATTACATATCAGTAGCCATTCCTGCAAATTTTCACCTCCTTACCAAGAGATGAATCAAAAGCCATGAAATTTTTGAGATTTGTGAAAGATGTGAAAGCCCACAGCACTACACAGTGGTGAGAAAGCTCAATGGAATCAAGCGAAAACAACGTCAAATATCATGGGGAGGACAGGAGAGCTGTACAGACAAGAATGCTATACTCACAACTATAAAGACCAGCCCTTCTTCTTTATAGGAGCCCAGGAAGCACACTGACTACTAAAACTAGACCTTAGCTGCACAGAAATCATTCTTCTCATTATTAAAACAGGAAATCATTTTTCATGAAGGATAAAAAGATTGTTTTCCTCCTGTTCACTTTGCTGGTGGTGATGGTGGTAGTTTTTGTCAGGTTTGGGTATTGGTTGGTTGGAATTTTTCTTATTTGCTTTGCTTAAACTGTGGCAAAAGGTTCCTCTTCCCTTATCCTCAATTGAAAATCGATATTTGAACTTGGAACTAATTTCTGACATTGTAGCACTATATCTTTGCTTATACTGCCCTCAAAGGCAGGCATAGCAGGGCCAGTGATTGCCATAATGTGGATCATGTAATATAAAAAGAAGAAAAAAAGCCTGACAATTTATGCTTAGAAAGCTCAGGCCCCATTTAGAGTTTCTATGTCTCCTCTGGCCAGAGGCACCAAGTCAGCAGGAAGTTTGGATATTAGCCAAATCCTTAATAGCTTTGTACAACTACTTGCCAATACTCACATTCAGCCAAGGTCTCAAACATTTGTAATACTGATGAAAGCTTTAAAAGAACCTCTCCCTTACAGCTGTCCTCCCCAAATAATGTAAAGTGACAGCTCAGTGCAGAAATATCACATTGATAATTTCATACACTCAGTGGCTTCCAAACTGTCCAAAAACTGTTTAGTCATATACAGCTTCCAAAATATAAACTGAAAACAATACAAGAACTAAGAGATGATGCAGAAGATACATTCTCCACTAGAATTCAACTGCCTCACATTGGAGGAGATAGAAGATTCACAGAACAAGTTCTGTTCCATAAATGTTCTGGCAAACAACGTGTGTGTGTGTGTGTGTGTATATATATATATATATACACACATATTAAAACTTGCCACAAGAAACAGCAGTGTTGTACACAAAAGCCAAGGCATACACATGTATTTAAAGTAATGATCAAAAGGCAGAGACATTTCTGGCAGATCTTTTTAGATTACCTTGGTAGCTAACTCTTTTTAAAGGGGCTGAACACATCCTCAAAAAAATCTTTTTTTTTTTTTTTTTTTTTTTTTCCCCTTTGCATGCTTTTATCATCTGTGATGGCTTGCGGAAAAAAAAAGCAACCTGATGCAAACTACAATGTCTTTTTTCTTTTTTTAAAAAAAAAGTACACCTCTTTTCTTTAATCAGAGCAGTCCTGCATGCTTTATTTCAGTAAAGTAAGAAGATGGACAGTATGCTGGTTCATATGGTGGCTCTTTCAAGACCTATATTGCTTTCATCAAAAAAAGGGAGCGTATTTTTCTCTACTTATCATTGTCAGACTGATGAAATGATTTTTCCCCCCACTTTTCTAATCATAAGAAATAACATCACTTAACTCTCCCCATTATTCTACTATTCCTGAGAAGTTTGAAAAATAAAATATACATGACTCTAAAAGTAATCATCTTCATTTAGGTTCCTTTTAATTATCAATAAGCATTCACTAATAATTTCACTACTTTATCTTGTAGTCAGTTAATGACAAAATCAGCGCACGTGCAGTTGTGTATAAACTTAGTTACAGAGTCTGTTTTGATCGTGCCAGTTGGTGATGTCCCTTAAGATCCAATGATGCAAAATGAAAGACGAGGCATTTCTCACCTTGCAGGAATAGCTTTTCACATCTGCATGGCTTTCATTTCTATTTCTTACTACAGAAACAGTATATGAAGAAGAATGTAATGACTGCTGAATATACATCTAATGATAAATGTGGAAATCTGTCAAGAAATCAAACGCTGTCTGGTGCAGGGACACTAATTAACACTCATCATGCAATCAGAAACTCCTGCAATGGAAATATTTGATCCAAATGCAGTATTAAATACCTTGAGGAACAAGCAGTTCTGATTGTCAACTATATCAAAAATCCAAGTTCATTCTGATTTAATAGTCAGTCAAAAGAAGCAGAGTTATTTGGCATCATCCATTGTTTTAAAAGCATTGACATAACCAAGCCTTATTATACATAACATTTCAAAGATGCAATGTAAAATACCTCAGTTTATCAAAGCTCACAGTTCTGATAGTGGATCAACATTTTGTTAGCTGTCTGATCTCTGCAGCTATCAACATTAAGATCCTTAAGAAATTTGTTGGGAAAAAAAGTTAGCAATTAATAGGGGACAGAAATGAATACATTTCAGAACATTGAAAGGATCTCTACTGTTGGAATCTTCTCAGCTTACACGCACCATGATGATCTTCTCAGGATACACAGGTAACTCAAAGGCTAGGCCAGTATTTGGCCTAGTATCTAGGACAGAGAAAAACTCCTAATTTTTCTGTCAGCATATGTCTTGTGTGCTATATTCTGTATCCTAGCCTACATTCACTGTGCCTTCCTAATGCTCCTACAATTGTAGATTAGTTGCCTCATACTTGTGTTTCTTCCTCCATAGCAAACCTCATTTGTCAATGCAAGACTGCATTTACCAACTCATCTTTTACTTGGGATTACCCTAAGGTGCCCGCTTAGTCTGGCAAACAGGATCTGTAGCTTAATGTCTATTAAACAAACCAAAAAGTTAGATGCCTTTTTTTTAATTATAATTGGAACTGACTCTTCTTGGGAGGAAATATTAACGCATAAAAGCAGACATCATTACTCAGATTACCTTAAAAATTTGTCCTACAAAGTAGCACAATTTTGCATTGCCAGAGTTTGCCCAGTGACTATGTAACACTTCATAGAAACACTGAATTCCTTACAGACTGAATCACTTTTCTACTTCAATTGAGAAGCCTGTGCTTAAAAGTAAGCACAAGACAAGACAGCCTAAAGGTTTTCCAACCAAAATCAGATGATTGGTCTTGTTCTATTATTTCTGAATTTATAACGGCAAGAAACACCTTTCTTCCCTTTTTAAGCAATCTGTCAGTACTTAAGGACAAAAATCTAGTTTCTAAAGTTACTTCAACAGAGCACAAGTAAGTTCAAGACAGACATAAGGGACGACTGTAAACATACTAAAAAAGTGCACTTTTCAAAAGCAATACAGCATTTCATTATTAACACAGGTAAAGAATCAAAAGGAAAACTATAAAATAGAAATTTGAGCTAAATTAATTGTGTAAAAAAAAAAAAAAGGTAAAGAAAATAGTGGGGTAATGGGAAAAATATACACAACTTGTCAGAAATAATGTGTGTGTATATATATATATATATAAAAGCATATATATATATGCATATATATCCTTTTCTCAGCTGAAATCTCATTTGCCTTGGAGCAGCCGAAGTACAGCAAGTAGGTCACTTCACATTTGCGACTTCACATTGCTAACTTCCTATCTGGTCCACACTTCTGCTCTGTGAGCAAAGAAATCTGAATCCGTGACAAAGGGAATTATAGTCCAACTTTTTCAAACAAATGTGAGGGAGATGATGACATAATTCAAAGATCAGCTCTTCAAATTGTAGTCATGCTAACGACACCAAGTTGTGAATCT